GTCAAAAAATATTTTACATATTAAACTATATTGGCTAGTATTATTTATTTCTATCTTTTGTTTACTATTTTTCATTTTCAGTGTTCAAGAAACAAAAAATAATGATAAATTACTGTATCGAATTATTGGTAATTGTCAGTGTTTTCGATCCCTGTACCTTGTCCAACGAGACGAATAGTTCTGTTTTTATTCATCGACTGTTAATATTGGCGTTTCTGCTCGCTCGTCTCGTTGGATAAAGTATAGCCTCGCAGATCAAACAGTGCGCGCAGTATCGATTGAGAGACACCTTTCATTTTTTTCACTTGGATCGCGACTTGCAACGCTCACAATGGCCCGTCATTTATCATCGAACAGAAATTCTTGACACGAGTAATGAGCCGTGCGGCGCCACGGCGGGAATTTATCGCGTTCGACAAAGCGGGAACGCGAAATCCGTGTTCCAGTTTCCGCGCGATATTTACAGACAGGTGGTCAAAAAGGTTCGAGATCGCTTCGGTGCATTCGATACGCGTTTGTCGTCGGAATATGCGAATTCGCGATACAATTCCGTCGACAGTGATCGGTGCAAATAGAATACGACGATGCATTGAGCAATCGCGGATTTTTGAACGGGCCAGCGAACCCCCCCGTGGTAGAATAATTTTTTAAATTTGTTTCCCGTAAACTAGTCGCATCGATTTCTGTATTATTCGCGACGCTGAAGATCCTGCAAACTTTGGACGTAAAACGAAATATCAGTACCAAGTGAATTTTTGCTTAATGCGGCTCCCAAGAAATTAGAATTTCAATTAAATAGAAAAATGTAGTTTCTTGTGTTTTATTTGGACATTAGGTCGTTGAATTCATCTCGAAATCGCCTGTTGTATAAAATTACAATTTTGTGTCGATTAGTCAACCTTTCGTAAAAATATTCGCACAAACATTAGAATTTCATCCTCAACGCGAGTTGCCAACAAATTTCGGGCAAAAATTCCACAAGACAAACCTTATCACGACCCAGAAAACATGGATTAACTGGGAGTAAAAGGTCTCGATTCACAGAGAGAAGTTACTCTCACAACGTTATCCGAATGAGCTCGTTCCACTCGAGACGCGGGAACCGAATTTACGCTTTTAATTTTACGCCTCTCGATTTCGCGAATTTTATGGGGGTCAGTTTTAATGGCAAGACTGGTCAGAAGTTCGCGAGCATAATTTAAACGCGACGAGCTAACTCCAATTATGCCCACGTAAATCTCGTTTATATTTTCGTTGCAGAAAACGCGAAAACTCGTATATACAATCTGACCTTACAATCGTTAGCTTGTAAAGAGAGCTTTTTAAAATGTTTCCGTTTGTATTCTCCGCGTTCCTGGATCTTACCAGTCGCGAAAATTTCGAAGTTCGCCGCGGGAGATTAAAATTTATTATTCCAGGCTGGCCGGAGTTTTCGATATCGCGGTTATTGGATGTGCTACTCGGTTATCCAACAGCAAATAATCTCGGGGTTAATATCGAACGTGACTTCGTCAAGAACATACACGGTATCCAATAACTGGTAGTACCTGCTAATGGCGAGTGGGTCCTACGCGAGAAAGTGAATCAAAAATACAGAATAAACTTTTCTTAAACGAGCCTTTATTCACGAGACAGCCAACGGTAAATATTCATGCGTTATTAATACTTCACGTTTCACACGAACGAGCAATTTTAACGAGAGATCCGATGAAAGGTTCCTAACCATTTTCCGACACGAAATTTTTAAATTCAACGTTCTATAAATATTCAAATATTTCCTCTGCGTGATTCTAGCATTCGGTAAACATACAGATATCATGTTTGTTAATTCACAAAGCACGTTGATATCGTCATAAATATCAAAGAGAGCATCTTCGTGCGTCCCCGTATCCTCAGATACGTTTCTGAATTATGAATTTATGGGAATTGAAATTTCGAAACGATTCGTCGCTATTCGATGAGAGCAGCTTGACGTCGTGAATTAAAGTGGTATAATTGCAAACTAAAAAACAAGTATTTTCGCGAATTCTTTATTTGGATAGAAACATAAACTACAAATTTATTTGTTGTTAATGCTGATGTGTAGCGAGATTTGACGTATTTCATTTTTTTAAATGTCTACTACTGAATATTGTAAATCCACCAGCGTTTTCAGTTCTGCATAATGACACTTGAAAGACAGTTATAAAATTGTATGAAACTATTCTCTTGGTATTTCTGTTTTAACGTGTCATTATTTCCAGTTAAACGTATGGTGGAAGCTCTTCTATAATACAGTTAAATGGATTTTGAAAAAAAATCCAGCGCAAGTAGAAATGACCAGTAATGGTCGGACACGTTCACCGGGCCGTACGAATCGAGGGAATTTCGAGGCAGTTTCGGGAAATAAAACGAGAGTGTACCGTTACTTATTTCGAGAAACCATCCATCTCGAAACGAACAAAGGTAGAAACGGGTGGAAAAAGTTCAGAGGCCATCAATTAGAATAGATTTCCATAAACGTCTCACTCTCTGTCACGGCAACGAACAAATTATACGCGGAATGAAATTTTTGCTTGAACGAGACGCTGTAGAAAGATGAAAAGAAAGCAGGAAGCAAGGTTCCGGATAGGGGAAATGCTTCATAGTATCGCCTTTCTGAACAAGGTATCGGAATAAAGTGTGTTGCAAGAAACTGAATTCTCTATAGAAAATGATGAATAATTGAGTGGCACGGACGAATCGAAAAAAGACAAATCCAATATTCGTACAGTAATTTATATTCGCGACGATGGTCGAATAATAATTAAATCGTGTTTGTCTGACCTAAATTTACTCGTTCTTAAGCAAATAACTAAGAATCGTCATACCTCGTTTACATTTTCTTTAAAATTATTTTTTAAAAAAAGAAATAGAACACGTCGGAACTACATCGAGAAAGGCGAAAAATTTTAAAATTAAATATAATTAAAACCGATGGGGTCGAAGAAAGAACAACTAAGAAGATACGGAAACGAGACAAAAGCACGTCAAGGGGGATAGGAAAAATAAACCGAGACTCGAAGCAAAGGGGGTAACAGGCTATTGTTCAGAAGGGTTAAAATAGGATCACAAAATGGGAGAAAAGGAATGGTAAGAAGAGTTGGGTAAATAGACAAATCTTTTACTTTCTTATTCGAAAGGAAAGTCTGCTGTCGATGTAATAATTTGCTCTTACTTTTCGACATCTCCACCATTTTCCACGATTGAATAAAAATTTACTCGTAATAAAATATTTCGTGATGAAAATTAAAATTAAATAACCTTTAAGAAATTAATATATAATGTATAATGTTTCTTAAATTAAAGCATCAGATTATAAAGTCTGTCGGAAGAGTTGGAGCGAAATATAGGTGTAGCAATGGTCCAATTAATCTGTAATAAAGAAACATGTGCAGACTTGTTACGGTGAACGTTGCAATCATACTTAAAAACTGAAAGGTCATGCCTACACAGGTTGTCCATAGAACGTTCGTAATTCGAGGATCACAGTTACACATCACGTGTGCCACGTTTACGTTAAAAATTGCTCTTTAACCTGTATAGATATGATCTTTTAGTTCTTACAGATCGTTTCGACGTTCGCCGTTATAGTTCTTGCGCGCATGTTTCTTTATTACGATTTAATTGGAGCATTATACAGCTGCATTTTGTTCCAATTCTCTTAACTGATCTGTTCCCTGACTTCCTGTACAAAATTATACGATCTAGTTAATTCTATTTACATTCCCATGAGTAATCAGATAAACTGGTTTGTTTAATTAATTCGTAGCTTCATAAATATATTCTAATTTTTCCGAGTTTAGAACAACTTTCCTCGATAATTTTGTTATAGTTCTATAATATTGTTTCAGTTTCTTAAATGGGATAGAGTTCATCCTGTGAAAATATTGATTCGTTTAACGACATTTATGTTGTATTATACAGCTGGAGGTGTCCAATTTCATGGTCGAAAATGTTTATGTTTCCAAATAATATTATTTGTCAATGAATATTCACTTGTATGACCAAATTGTAGTGTTTATTCTGGATAATAAGTTTTGGCGCGCGTGGCAGGTCTCTCTTTCCCTCTCTTTCGCTCTCTCGGCGTCCCGCTGCAACAACTACCGTGCTGTACAATCCTCAGTATGATCCACGCGGCCCAACCGCGAGGATGTGTCCCTGGAAGTGTATATCTCGATCGTGTTTTCGTTGGAAACTTTACGAGCAATCCAAGTCGCCGTCAATTAATCTTGTGATTAAATATTATTAACCAGGATTGACCACCGAATATTTCGTGGAAATTAAATTTACGTGACGTTACGCGTTAAAGAAAACCGAATTTCAACGATTGATTTAGGATAGACACGACGGAGGAATATTTTTATTACGAACAAAACTATTTATTTCTTGAACATTACGAAATTTAAACTCACCGCGAGTTATAAATGGTTGAGCAGTTACGTGTGAATTTTTAATCGTTTTTAATCGTGTTTCTGACACGATTTTTCAAATATGTAATTTTCTAGAATTGTGGGTTTTTCGAGGGATCCGTGTTCTTAAAAAATCCGAACGAAGTAGCTGTATTTCGAGTGATTGGTATTTCTAAAATTGTGTACCCTCAAACGATAAATTTCTAACACCGAATGCTGAGTTACAGAATTTCTGAAATTTTCATGCATCCGAAGTTTAATTTCCGAATAATTTCGACTGGAATCCCAAGTGTTTCGAAATTGCAAATTTCCCGCCGGTGAGGAGTTCGCGAAGCCCTCGGATCTCAAAGTATTACAGTTCGTAATTTACCTAAACATTCGAAACTCATCGAAACTGTACGATACGAACTATCAGTCGTACAAAGTAAAACTCGCGTAGAGAACAAAAATGGGCAAAATTCTTGTCTAAATAAAAACTCCGGATATCGAGTGAAAAAATATCTAACGATCACGTTGAACGAATGGATACATATTTGCAGATCCGTTCAGTCGAATGAACGTTGCAATTAAATCGCGTTTTTATTCATCGTTGAATATAAATTTAAATTGTAGTATAAAATATTTCGCACCGAACAGATGAAAAAGTTACATAATCGTTGCGAATGTATTGCTTCGCTTTGATCTCGGTATTTGCGTAATATTCATGAAAAATCACTGCAGGAAAATAGTTTTCGTAACGGCGAGAACTTTTCAGTCGAAATTAGGATTTCGTAGAAAAGTGACTCGCGCGTCGTACTCGGTTAACGTAAACACTAGACACAACGTGGTAGTCATTGCATCTGCGCGCTGCGAGAGGAAAAAAGAAAACACGTAACCGGATATCGTCGAACGAAACTGCAACACTCCGCAGCAAATTTTCGCGCGCGATCTATCGATTAACAAAGCTTCTGCCACCGGGCGATTCTAACGACCGTGTCCACGAATTCACTTCTCGAAACCGAATGCATTAAAATTCAAACGAACCTGCACCGTGCACCGGCCACTCGAGGTTTAACGGTCCGATTCGCGGATTCATATCTTTCAACGAGCAATTCGAGCACGCTTCGCGTCGGAGATCTTTCGAGAGACCGATGAGAATCGATAATTATTGTGTTTGCTGAGTCTTAGCGCGATTTAAAATTCAAATCGTTACCGTTCCGACGCGAAAACAACCACCGCGAGCCGACGTTGCCGCCGCGTAAGTCTTCGAGGCGCCACAGATCACAATTATTCGACTATCGATTTTATTGGAGATCGTTCGGTTCCGTAACCGCTTTCGCCGTGAAATTACGACGGGCCTGCAGTGCTGTGAATCGTGATTGACGTTGTCGTTCAAATCCGAACGGTGAGAAACGAGGAAAGAATTTTGTGTGTTCAAGAATTCAGCTACGGGCGTGAAAAGATTTAAAGGGCGGAGGAACGTTGAAGTTCGTGACACGGGTCGGGACAAGAAGACGCTCGAAAAATGTGAGTAAAACGTTGATGGAATATTTGGCAGGTTAAGGAACTTTAAACCGTTCGATGAACATGTGATTTTTATTTAATTGTTTGGAACATTTTTTAAGAAATCTTGATCATTTTATCTTTCCTATTATTAACGTTCTCGATTGACTTCTCCTAGAAATGTAGTTTTCAGAAAATTCGATACGAGAAAATTGAGTTCCTCGTTTAATTAGGTCCGCGTATAGTTGTGCAGGATGAATTTTCCATTAATTTGAAATTACGGTCGTTTCCCTTCGAGCGAACAAAAAGCCGATATACAAATCGTGTTTCGTTACCTCAGAAGCTCGATTAATTTAAATTTACAGTTGAAATTCATCGTGGCGTACGCGTACGTTTGAAATGTGTTTCTATTCATCGTCCCATAATGGCGCGGATTCTATCATAACGAAGTGCAGTACCGCGAAAACGAATCTGTTGCCCCTTTATAACCCAATCTGGCCAGGAAGTGCAAGCAATTTATATCATCCCATCGTCTATTCCTTTTTTGTGCTACAGATGTTGTTGAAAAAGCACGCCAGTGAATTTTATGTACTACTTCGGCAATTCTGCATAATCGTCTCCTTTCGACCAATCCCAGGCTTTTGTTATCGATTTCCTTTATCAGAAAAGAATTCTTAAAAATAAAAATTTAGGACAGAACAAAATCGATACTAAGCTTATTAGAAGACTCTCAGACATTTTTATTCACTGTTTTCGAAGAAAAACAAAGTTTATTAGTTGGACGAGAAATTATTTTCGACGCTCTGTATAAGATTTATGTAATCCATAATAATCAGTTTCTCGTTATATAATCCACTCGCTAATTGATATTGTAATAATTATCTTTCCAATAATTATTCAATCCATAATTATTATCATTCGTTTTTCTCGTACTTGCTTTACATCTCGAGTAAGGAAATCGTTCGTTAATACTCCATCCAGGAGGAAATTTACTCCAGTTAGCAAACTGTATTTATAACGAAATACCGTTATGGGATATTGAATATTGATCATAGAACAAAGTCTATGAGACCGACATGCCCTTATAATCAACAGTTTGATGCGACCAAGATGGAACTAAATTAATTGCTCCCTCAAAACCGCTAATGAGCTGTCTCACCACCGTTTGGTTGTCCGTTTAGGACACTGATTTCCGATTTTATTGAAACGTACACTTTTCTATAACATATCACCTATCGTAACACGTTTCCAGATAGTTACATTTTAAAAAATTCCATTTCTACTTTAATTAATTTAACTTTCTGACGATGACACCGAACGCAAGGTCAAGACGTTGTTAAATGCTTGTTGAAGTCTTTCAAGCTACCGTTGCTGTTATTTTAACTTATGTTTGCATTATAATTTAATTTCAATCTTCGGTTAAACTTCAGCCAGTTTTCGCGTGTAACATAATTTTGATAAACACGAAACGCGAGATTAATATGATGTGTATTCGTTGATTAATTAATTTCCGCGCGTGTGTGTTAATGCACGTTACCGCTAACTTGTGACAACGAAATTTTGTCCGCGCTTGTAAATTAAAATTTATGCCCACGTGTACAAGCATTTCGCGTGCCCGTCACAACTTTGTTGACAATTTATTAACATTTCAGTTTGTTAACATTTCAATCGCATTAAAGTGTCACTCCGAAGGACTCTGTTTGAAAACTATATGTTTCTGCCCGGAACGGATTTTGTTAAAACCTTGCGTAGGTCCATACGAGAACCATTTATTCTCAACGTAATTCTAATTAATTTTTTCCAATTATCCAGCGATAGAGAACGTGAAAAATTCAAGCTCTCGTCGTTCGACATCTTTCCAATTAATTTTACTTAAAATGTACCATTCTTATAGAGCAAAAACGACTGGTTAAATTTTATTGTTGCACGTGTCCCTTGTACGTTGTCACACGTCTGAAGACGATCTTAAAAAGGGTCTCAGGGACACAACAATTTATACTTCCGGTAGATGTTAACTGTTTCCAACTTTCTACCCGACGGTAGTCAGAACTTTGTACTGAAAAATTATTACTCGCGATTCCGCTTGTGTTGTCGGATGATTAAGAATTTTTACCAAGAGTAGAAAGTTTTATTAACATTATGATGCACCTGGTTTCTTATTTCAAATTAAATTAGCGATTCAAAGCATTCCCTTTTTACAATTATACGTTGCAAAATTTCTGATTAATTTTTACCGAAACTAATTTTGTTCACCATTTACGAAACTCCGCTGTTTTTGTACAATTTGATTTACGCTGGAAATTTGAGAACGATTAAGGAACGGCGTGAATCGGGGATTTAATGCACTTTCTAAATAAACGTAGCAGAACGTAATTTCGTCAAGCTATGACTGATCGTTTGCTATACGATTTAACATTCCCTGTATAATCGCGACGAGCTCTTTGAGCGAGAAAATCTTGGGCCAAAGAGATGAGAGGTCTTTTCATGGTATAACGGCCGCGTAAAGCTCGTAAAATTACGCATAAAATCTCGTCGTAAAGTCACAGATTTTAGAGTGCAGCGACTGACTTTAATTTTATTTAGGGGATCGGGAAAACGCCGGTTCATAACACGCTCGATGATTAATTTTCCACTATTTTCCACCAAACTCGTTATTATAAAGTATCGAACAATTAATAATAGATTAATCGATCAGAAACCGTACAGCACGGAAGAGTAAATTAGTTGCAATGAATCGGACATATTAACTAAATTTATTATCATCGTTTATCTATTGATTTACTGTATTTCTGTATTTGTTGATTACTGGTTGCAGAAAATGATATATTAACGACTTTATTTGTACTGGATTATTAATTCCTCGTTTGATTTACTTTACAAATATCACATGTAAGTAGTAATTGAATAATAATAGGTGAAGCGTGTTAAAGTTGGCGAAGGGTAAAATATATAATGAGAATTTAGATCGAATGTTTAAAAAAGCACGTAACATTATCATTGGCCTTAGTGATCTCCGCTGTTGTGTCATATCTCGTTATCGAGTTGTATTATTTTTCGTGCGAGTCCGTTAACAAATTACATCCGTATCCCGCTCCCATCAGTCGATGGCCAATCAGCTAAATCCAAGCTTTGCTCCCCATAGCATAAGCAGAACGGCCGATGCACTTTGACCGTGATAACGTATGCACTTGTCGACAACGCGTTTTCAAAGCTGATAATGGCAATAATCAGTATTATTCTTTCCTCCTCAGTATTCCTATTCAAAGGTACATGTTATTCAAACATACATGAATCAATAATAATTTCGTTTCTCTCGAGCAGACCATTTATTTTGAAATATTCGGGTCGAAAAGCAAATATAGATTTGAAGTTTAATTTGAGATGGATACGATCGTGGTGTATATTAACGACAATCTGGTTTCTGTCGCGCGTATGATAAATGTTTTCGTCTTTCGACAGTTAATATTTGAACGCTAAGTAAGCTGGGACTTTGCTGAGACGTTGATTTAATTTATGACCAGAATCGATCGGTCCCCAATGGAGATACTCGATCTTCGTATTCCTAGGATATCAGGATTCTGTTCGCGCGACTTTTCCAAGTCCTAGGGTGGCATGTTTCAATTTTATCGCTCGAAAACGTAGAATTTTCGTCCCGAGAACTTCAGGCGAATCTTTGAGACTAATAACTACCCCGATTTATGGAGGCAAATAATATCTTTTACTGTTTTTTTTTTTTAATATTAATAATAGTGTATTCTAATCCTCTGTGAAATGTGCCTGATAGAAGCAATCCCAGTAAGATTGGCCAAGACAATTTCCAGAATTTGCGCGTGATTAAGGCAACCTTTATGGGCACGCCTAATAGCCGTGCAGGTTTAACCACTTAATTTATGGATGTATAAATAACCATATAATTTCTATTTTGAAACACAAAATGGGATTCGTGCAATAGGGGATTCAGGATCAAGTTATTAATGTTCGAGTGCTCGGCTATCGGTGACATAGTTATCGTTGCATAGATTTACGAGACTTATGTGTCATGAAAAACACGACTGATTGTTAATATCTGTCTATATTAATAAAACAAAATGTTTATAACTTTTTGAAAACTCAGTCATCAGGGTCCTGTGTGTTGAATTCAAATTTCAAACGAATAAAGATATTGTTTCTCGAGATGTTCCAATGCAGTTTTCATATAAATGTTATCGAATAAAGAAAATTCAATTTAGATTCTTTTGACGCTAGCAGTTTCCAAATTTCGCAACAGTATGTTCGGGTCAATGCTTTTAAAACTTGAATGTCCAAAAAAAAGGAACACCTTCAAACCGGGCAGATCCATTAAAGTTTCATTTGCAGTGGAGTCACGTGAGTTTCTTCGTAAATTTTACTGCCTGAAATTAAATCTTTTTTCTACCTCTAGCTAACTACAAAATTCATTTTCCTAATGGCACGAATACATTAAAAATTCTTGATGAAAATGTTTTTTATATTAGCTTCGACACTCGTACGATTCGATCGAATTTATAAATCACTTCGTATTTTGTTGTGTTTGTATTTCGTTACTGGTTTTGTACACACGTTATCAGTTTCGTGATACTATTTAGATTTCTTGTTTTTCTAATTTTCATAGCAACGTAAAGTTCTGGGGTTAATTAAACTCTTTCCCAAACGATCGTTCGTTCTCTATTTTCTGGCTGTTATCCACGCGACGTCGAAAGGTAATAACGTCACGGATCCCCGTAAGAAGATTCATACTAATCCGGCTCGCATAACGCGATCTAGAGCTTGTTAGACCATCGTCTTCGGTTTGTTCCCGCGACACGCAAATGTCTTCAGAGCCTGGAAATGTAAGTCTCATTTATGAGATGTCGGTTTTCATCGCCCCGCTAATTGCTGGGATAATTAAACAACGCGCAAGACGCTCGAGCGTTTATGGCGGGGAAAGTTGTACCTGGCTAACGAAGCAACTTGGTAGGTGGTTCTCAATTAGAAATCGTCGAGATGAAATGTTTGAAAACATTCTC